ATCATTTAAGGCTTGTGGTTTCTTACTAACTTTCTGTCTGGTAGATCTGTCTATTGGTATGAATGGGGTATTAAAGTCCTGCACTATTACCGTGCTACTGTCAATTTCCCTTTTAATAGTTGTTAGCATTTGCCTTAGTATTGAGGTGCTCCTATGTTGGGTGCATATATATTTATAATGTTTATATCTTCTTCTTGGATTGATTCCAGGATCATCATGTAGTGTCCTTCCTTATCTCTTATAAGGGTCTTTATTTTAAAGTCTATTTTATCTGATATGAATATTGCTACTCCTGCTTTTTTTTAAATTTCCATTTGCATGCAATATCTTTTTCCAGCCCCTCACTTTCAGTCTGTGTGTCCCTAGGTCTGAGGTGGATCTCTTGTAGACAGCATATATAAGGGTTTTTGTATCCATTGTATCTTTTAACTGGAGCATTTAGTCAATTTACATTTAACATAATTATTGATATATATGATACATATGGGGTTTCCCTGGTGGCTCAGAGAGTAAAGAATCTGCCTGCAATGCAGGAGACCTAGATTCAACCCCTGGGTCAGGAAGATCCCCTGGAGAAGGAAATGGCTAGCCTCTCCAATATTCTTGCCTGGGGAATTCCAGGAACAGAGCAGCCTGGTGGGCTACATACAGTTCATGGGGTCACAAAGAGTTGGACACGACTGAGTGACTAACACTAATTAAATAATGATCCTATTACTATTTACTTTATTCTTTTGGGTTTATTTTTGTAGACCTTTTCTTTCTCTTGTGTTTCCAACCCAGAGAAGTTTCTTTAGCATTTGCTGTAAAGCTGGTTTGGTGACACTGAATTCTCTTTATCTTTTTTTTTTTTTTTTTTGCTTATCCATAAAGCTTTTGAGTTCTCCTTTGAATCTGAATGAGATCCTTACTAGATAGAGTAATCTTTGTTGTAATTTTGTTTCTTTCATCACTTTAAGTATACCTTGTCACTCCCTTCTGGCCAGAGTTTCTGTTGAAAGATTAGCTGTTAGCCGTATGGGAATCCCCTTGTGTGTTATTTGCTGCTTTTCCCATACTGCTTTTAATATTTGTTCTTTGTGTTTAATTTTCATTAGCTTGATTAATATGTGTCTTGGTGTATTTCTCCTTGGGTTTATCCTGTATTGGACTCTGGACTTCCTGGATTTGGATGGTTATTTCCTTTCCCAAGTTAGGGAAGTTTTTGACTATTATCTCCTCAAATATTTTCTCATGCCTTTTCCCCCTTCTTCTTCTGGGACCCTTATAATTCATATGTTAGTATGCTTAGCGTTGTTCCAGAGGTCTCTGAGACTGTCCTCATTTCTTTCCTTTTTTTTTTTCTTTATTCTGCTCTGCTTCAGTTCTCTCCACAATTCTGTCTTCCAGATCAGTTACCCGTTTTTCTGGCTCCAATAATCTGCTAAGACTTCACAGGCATCACAACACAGAAGACAAAACCTCAAGACTAGTGGTGAAAACAACACTCAAATGCCAACAGCACCCAAAGAAACTCACACATTTACAAAAGGAAGAGAGAAAAAAGAGAATGAAGAAAAAAAAAGGAAGAAAATTAGAAATATATGAAAAAGAAAAAAGGGGGGAGATTAAGAGGATAAAAAAAGGGGAAAGGGGGAGAAAGGGAAAAAGAGGGGAAAGGGAAAAAAAGAAAACAATGTATATAGAGAGTAGTGGTTCTCCTCCACCTCCTAGGAAGCCCTCCTGTACTGGACTTTTCTTGGGACCTACTGTCGGATTCTCATCTGCCTCTACTCCTATGTGTATTTGCCTCCAATGTCCACAGTTGCCAGAGCTAGGATTTTTTTCTTTTATGTGAACACTCATTGTCCTTTTTTATATCCCATAGGCACAGAGTCTACCTAGTTGATTGTGTATATTTAATCTGCAGTTTGTACAGCTGGTGGAAAGATTTTCAATCCTCTTCCTTAGCCACCCTGCTAAAACCATTGTGGTTTTATCTCCACCACTGCATGTAGGTTATCACAGGAGTTCACTCCTGAGGCTGCCCTGGAGGACTTGGGTCTGCCCCAGTGAGGACCAAGAGTGGAGGTATCACAGCTGCTTGAATGGTGGGGACCCTGGCAACACCATGTATGCAGGGGAGGCAGCGGCCACAGGGGGAGGAGATATGGCACTATTAAGGCTTTTTCTTTCTAGCCTCTGGCAGCTCTGCACCAGTGAGGACTGGGCAGGGAGGTGGCATGACCCCTTAGAGTGTGGGAACCTGGTGGGGCCAAAAGCGTAGGGAAGCCGGTGACCGGGGCATAGGAGATAAAGTGCTATTAGACTCTTTTTCAAGGGCTTCCCAGGTGGTGCTAGTGATAAAGAACCCACCTGCTAATGAAGGAGACATAAGAGACATGGGTTTGATCCTTGGGTTGGGAAGAGCCCCCTGGAGGAGGGCATGGCAACCCATTCCAATATTTTTGCTTGGAGAATCCCATGGACAGAGGAGGCTGGCAGGTTGCAGTTCACAGGGTCACACAGAGTTGGACATAACTGAAGCAACTTAGCACAGACATAGAGTCTTTTTTCTAGCCTCTGGAAGCTGGCATTCAAAGGACTTCCCTAGCTGGTCCTTCCTTGTCGCTTGGTGAAGCAGGTGCTCAAAGGGCCCTCCTGGCTGTGATCTTTCTCTGTTGCTTGGTGCATCAGGCCCACCAAGGACCACCATCTCTGGGGTCTTTCTCTACTGGTCAGCTGCTGGCTGTGGCAGGTGGGGAGAGAGAGGCTACAGTGGTGGCTCCACCCCCTGCGCATGATTCAGCACTATGGCCCTGCCTCCATGGCTGCCCAGCTTTCCTTCAAGGGCACTCCCAGCGGGATCTCCTCCCTCACATCCCCTCAGGCCATCTCCCGCAGTCACCAGCAGCCCTCACTTCGGGATTGCTTTCTAATCCCAACGGTCCAGCTCCCAGTGACTGCACATACGGAGGAAACTGTGTCCTGGACAGGTAGGGCTGTGGTTCTCTGCTGCACTCAGAATGTCACAAATCAACTGATTCTCTCTCCAGCAGCCTCAAAGGCCTCCTCTCTGTCCCAAACTATTGCTCCGGTGTGGGAATCTCATCCCTGCTTTATTCCTTCACCCCCTGAATGCAGTTCCAGCCCTACTCACTCTCCTAATTTTCCCTTCCTTCCTTCCTCTTACTGAGTTTTGCGTGGATCCATATTCCTTTCCGGTGGTCAGGCACTCCTGCCAGCTCTCAGCTGGAGCTCTGAGATCCTTGCATCTGAAGATATATCCCTGATGCATCCATGAAGAGAAAAGTACTCCATGTCCAGCTACTCCTCTGCCGTTTTGTCGTCTCTGTAGTGTTCGTGTTTATCACTTGGTTAAAGTGGTATCCGGCAGATCTCTCCACTGTGAAATTACTATCGCTCTCTTTTTAATTAGTATGAGCCTTATGCGGAGATTCTTTGAGATTCTATAGTTACTGTTTCTCATCAGAATTTCACCCACTAGTTTAGAACTGCCTGGAACAACTGTCACTATGTCAGCTGCCAAATGATGATTTTCTAATTCCATTTTTCCTTTTCCATTTATTAATTGGCATATTAATTCTCCTGTAAAACGAGGCAAGTAATGAGCCCTCTCTAACTGAAAAGACTATGAAGAAAATCCAATGAGACCTATTTGTAAAAGTGAAAGGCAGAACGCTTTACAAAAGTAAGCTATTGTTTTACTATTGCTCCCCTTAGGCCTGCCTGCCAGCAGCAAAACCCTACAACACAGAGTTTCCACTCTCAGTTCTAGGGCACATTAAACCCCATGAATATTTGCATTTTTCACATAATTCCCTTGGGAGTTTGGATTGCAACAAAGGTTACAGAATCTATTTGGTGAATATAGTCAACTTTTAGTTATTCAACAATTATTTATCAAGACCTAGACTTGAGCAAAACACTATACTAATTGAATGTATAAACATGAAATTTCCTTAAAATGTCTAAATATGAATTTTGCAAGAGTTGGTTACACCACTCCACCCCTCAAAATTATATATTTTAAATGTATTTATTTATTTGAAAAGGGGAAATCTTGCTACATAGACATCCACTTGCAACAAATCAATTCCTACAGAGGGAAGATTTGGAAACACTATACCAAATTTTTAAGTCACAATAGTCTAAAAACCTGACTGCTTTAGAAATAGTCACAGCTATACCACAAGAACCAACTAGTTTGCACAAACCTTCCTTTTACTGCTGACTTATTTTTACTCCCCGTTTTTTTCTTCTTTAGCTATAGATCTTTCAGCAGGAAAAAAAGATGAAAGCAGAGTCCAAATTTTCCACGATAAGTGAAGATATATTGCATTATTTTTTATCTGAAACAATCTCTTCCTTGTAAAACAATAGAAATAGAGTTGTGTGTCTGTGTGCACATGAGTGTGTGTGTCATTCTATCTGCGTTTATGTTCATATTCCTTATTAAGCAAAGAAATATTTGCATGTATATAGAGAGAGGAAAAAAGTCAGATTAACCCAATGACCCATGTCAATTTTGCCAGTTACTTTCTCTGCCACTTGGGAAACCCTTGTGGCGTAGTGGTAAAGAATCTGCCTGCAATGCAGGAGACACAGGTTCGATCCCTAAGTCAGGAAGATCCTTTGGAGGAGGAAATGGCAACCCACTCTAGTGTTTTTGCCTGGAGAATCCCATGGACAGAAGAGCCTGGAGAAATACAGTCTATAGGGATCACAAAGAGTCAGACACGACTGAGCACACACACACGCACATATGATAGGTGTAATTTAACACTTACATAGCCATCTTCCCAACCAAATAAGAGTTATTGTATTTTTAACCATCTATGTATCCATCCAAATGCATTAAGATATCTTGAGTTCATCACTCTGGGTTATTATGCCCTAATGGTTCTAATTTGAATTTTCTTTCTAATTTTGAACACTCAGGACGCCATCTTCTTTTATTATTCAAGAAAGAAGTGCCCTTGTCATACAACAGGAAGAAAATGCTCTTTTGGCTGTTAGCCCTTCTGATCCTTTGTGGTTTTCTGTGGAATTATAAAAGACAGCTAAAGATCGCAAACATCACTGATAAGTACATTTTCATCACTGGGTGTGACACTGGCTTTGGAAACTTGGCAGCCAGAACTTTTGATAAGAAAGGGTTTCATGTAATTGCTGCCTGTCTGACTGAATCAGGATCAACAGCTTTAAAGGCAGAAACTTCAGAGAGGCTTCATACCGTGCTTCTGGATGTAACTGACCCAGAAAATGTCAAGAGGGCTGCCCAGTGGGTGAAAAACCAAGTTGGGGAGAAAGGTGAGTGATGTGAAAATGAGGGGAATGGAGGGGGTGTTGAGAAGTAAGCAAAGCTAAATGAAAGTAAATAGTCTGATTTTAAATGGTCTTTCCAAAAATAATGTCTCCTAGATACCAGTTATGTACTGGAGAAGATGGGAGAAAGTTTAGAATAGCCCTGAATATTTCTACATTGCAAGCTCTCTACATGCATGAGAGACACAGCCCGCATTACCTTCTCATGCGTCCCCATGGGTGAATTTAGAACCGAGATGATGGTGTTAACTGGTCTTTTTCTGTGAAGTACGACTCTAACCACTTACATAGCAAACAACTTGGGGCCAAAAGCTACAGTAGATCCTGAGGGCAACCCTTGAGTTGCCATCTGGATACCCAGGACCATCTTCTGACTGCAAAATGGTTCCAGAGCTCACACACTGTCACTAGGAAAGGAAGAAAATAGTCTGGCAATCTGAGCAAATGTGTCTTAGGTAGCCATGGTAGAATAAGGAGTCATTGGACCTCGTTCTGCATTAGATTCTGCAAAGATAGGAGCATTCTGAACTAGAAGACTTTTTATTTTTTTTCCTTGAATGAAGTTTGAAATACTCTCATGGATGAAGATATTTGAATCCACAAAGGAAAAAAACAAACAGATGTGATTTTTCCTTATCACATCTTCATCATATAGTTGAGACTCTGAACTTCAAAAGCAGTAGTTTGATAAGGCTCCAAATAATATTTTAATACTTGAATGCCAAACACTTTTAACAATGTTAAATGTTTCCCATCATAACATAAGACAGGTGAATGACTGGATTTTTACCAAAAATAAATGTGAAATAGATCGATGCTGTTCTTTGTCTATAAAAACAGTTCATAAGTATTCTCTGGCTATGTCATCCAGCATGATAGGAAAAATAGAGCAATTTCCTCACATCTGAGATTAAAAAGACTCACTCAGATGGTGTTTGACATTCAAAGCAGAAACAGAAAAATTGTGAGATTGGCTTCCGGTAACAGAACTTCAGCCCTTTCGGTTTAACCTCCCACCCACTGTACTATCACTTCCCCAAACTGCAAGTATTCAAAGCAGGAAGGAAGATGACTGGAAGGAGGAAATGGCACCATCAGATAAGGCAGAGCTGTATTTCCATCAAGGATGCCTATATAAGTATCACCTTCTACCATACCGCCTTCCCTTCCGCTCTGTTCTAGGTCTCTGGGGTCTGATCAACAACGCTGGCATTCTTGGTGTGCTGGCACCCAACGACTGGCTGACCGTCGAGGACTACAGAGAACCTGTTGAAGTGAACCTGTTTGGACTCATCAGTGTCACGTTAAACATGCTTCCCTTGGTCAAAAAGGCTCGAGGGAGAATTATCAATGTCTCTAGCATTGGGGGTCGGCTTGCATTTGGTGGAGGGGGCTATTCTCCATCTAAATATGCAGTAGAAGGCTTCAATGACAGCTTAAGGTAAAGCAAACATGGACATCTTAGCAAATAATAACCATTAACGTTCATTGAACATTTATATACCAGACACTATTTAGTGCTTAAAACTATTCCCAGTTTATGATACTGAACGTCAGCCCTTGACACAAGGGTTTGAAGCAAAAAATAAGGAAAAAACATTTTAAAAAGGAGAGATAAAATATAAATGATACCAGTGAAACTAAGAGAGTTGGGATAACTCACCCAAGGTCACCCAGCTGTCAAATGGTAGAATGGGATTTGAACCTAAATCTTTTAAAGTCTTTTCTCCTTTTTGCATTAATGCATATGTGAATAGTGGTGGCAAATTTGTATTCAACGGATCAGCTTGTTTAATAGTTACGGAATCATAGAGAGGAACTAAATCAGGTCTCTCTGTTGGTATTACTGACAGTTGCAGACACAACAGTGACATCTTATTTGAACCCTCAGTAGAAAATTATCTGATAAAGTAATGACTTAGCGATGCAGCTTTTCTTCCCCCCTCGTGTTGCAAGTTCTGGACTCAAAATTTCACATACTATAGCTGAATGGATGGTAACCATCCCACTTCTACCCCAAAGACAAGAAAGACAGCTTTCCTCTGATGCTTCCATTTCCAAATAAAACTTAGAGTAGAAGCTTACTACCCTGGAGAAGGGAATGGCAACCCACTCTAGTATTCTTGCCTGGAGAATCCCATAGACAGAGGAGCCTGGCGGGCTATAGTCCATGGGGTAGCAAAGAGTCGGACAAGACTGAGTGACTAACACACGCACACACACACACACACACACACAGAAGCTTGCTAATCTAATGTGAAGATTTTGCTCCCACAAGAAAGCATTGACTACCTCTTTTTGCTGCGTGTCACCAGAGAACCCCAGAGCATAAAACCATGAAAGGACCAACTTAGCAAACAAAGTCCTTCAATTCGGTGCCCCAGGCATTAGTTTCTTTGGGTTTATGATGTTTGAGATTCACTGGGCTTCTCCAATCTGTAGGTTTATGCCTTTTCACATATTTGAGGAGGTTTCAGCCATTGTTTCTCCAAACATTTTTTATCTACAATCCACTATTTCTCTTCCTTCTGGGATTCTAACACAAATATTAAAACCTCTTGGCTTTGTCCCACAGATGCCTGTGGTTCTGTTCACTTTGTCAATTTTTCTCTCTGCTGTTAAGATTAGGTAATTTCCAGTGATCTGTCTTCAAATTCATTGACTTTCCTTCATCTTCTTCATTTTACTAATGAGTCCAGCCAGTAAATATTTTATTGTGGTTATTGCATTTTTCAAGTGTAAAATTTTCACTTGGTTCTTCTTTATCTTTTCTTTCTTTTCTGAAGTTTTCTAAATTCCCATTTACCTCAGGAGTGTCTATCTCTTGGAACATGTCTGTTACAAGCACTTTAAAGACTTTGATAATTCCAACATCTGTGCTGCCTCGGCCTTGGTATCTTGTCCATTGTCTTTTCTCATGTGAGTTGAGATTTTCTGACTTCTTTTATGTATCATATGCTAAATATTTGGTACAACATGAAACTATGAGTATTATTAAATTATGGGGAGAATGTTGATAGGTTTTTTTTGTTATTGTTATTGTTTTTAGCAGATAATTGACCAGCTTTGTTCAGGTCACAACTTTCAACCAACCTTCTGTGGTTTGAGACCCCAGTGTTCAGTTTTCAAAGATTTTGCTGCGCTACTCAGATGTGTCCCACATGTGTACTACATAGCAGCCAGTCTGGAATGTGGAAGATGATCTGTCCCATAGTTCAGTTCCTCATCTGCAAACTGAGATGGTAGAATAAGATGCTCTTTCCTGTGCACCCAATTCTGTGACTCCACGAAAAGATTTATAAGCAAACATTATTAAAATAAGCCTGAATTAAATGTCTTCAACTGGCTCTTTTCACAGGCGGGACATGAAAGCTTTTGGTGTGCACGTCGCTTGCATTGAACCAGGATTGTTCAAAACCAATTTGTCAGATCCAGAAAAGGCTGCTGAAAAAAAACTTGCCATTTGGAAGCATCTGTCTCCAGACATCAAACAACAATATGGAGAAAGCTACATCAAGAAAAGTGAGCTTTGGGGTGGACCCAGGGTCCTATGGGGTTCATTGTCCTAGACAGCTTGAAAGAGACTCAAACAGAAAGGAAAAAATAAGGTTATCATGGTAATACACTAGTAGGGATCTCAGATATATATCAGGAGTCCCTATTGATTAGTGTCAGCTCTTGCTCATGTTTATAAACATTTACTGAGCATTTACTAAGTAGTAAGTTCCATACTAAGTGCCTCATGAATTGTATCATTTATTCCTCAAAAGAACTATAGCAGCCAGCAGAGGTTTGGAAAGGGGAAATGTCCTACCAAAGTTTATACAACTCCTCAGAGCAATGCCTGGACTGGAGCCCATGGTCATTACATCTACACAAACCACCTCTTTTTGGTGATCACCTACCACTCATTCAAAGACTCAGACTCTGCCTAACTTACAATCTAGTTGACAACAGAAAGTAACCAGATGACTCTGAACACTGAGATTTACAACATGCAAGAAACTTGACCCTTTATTTCTGAGACACAACCCAACAGCCTAGAAGGAGGGCTAGATAGTACACCCTAACTGCTCGAGAAATTCAGCACAGGGTCAAAGCATTGCTGGTTAAGAAACCTTTATAGGAAAGGTCAGGTTTGAATAAGACCTAAACAGGAAGAAATTATTAATATTTGGGTGGAAGCTTTCTGAAGCAGGAATGCATGGCAGTGGAGAGGAAGGAGAAGTAAGGTAAGTCAGACTGAGTCAAGGCTGGAGGAATAATCATAAAGATTAGATAACAATGACTAACACATAGTAAACATTCACTATATACTTGTCACCATTCTAAGCACTTTACACAAACTCTTTCATTTAAAATGCCCAAACAGGCCCTATGGATTTTATAGACGCAGAGGCACAGGGATGTAACTTGCCCAAAGTGGCACAGCTAGTAAGTGGAAGCTCTGGGTTAGAACCCAGATGGCCTGGCTTGTCCATCTATTCTCTGCCATGCACTGTAATGGGAATGAGGCATTGAGGAACTGCTGGAACTTCCTGTACTGGGGCTCTTACCTCCACATCAGACTTCCTGGCCTTATTAACATTTGCTTGCTAGTCCTCAAACGCTTACTAAGCTCCTGCTTTGAGCCAGGAGCTCCACCTGAACTGGTGTCACCCTAACCCCAGTGTGATCCTGCCTCTTCTTCAGCAGCTTCGGTAAGACGGCCAGCTGCGGCAAGTTTCAAGGCCAGGGGTTTTCAAGGTGGAGCCGAGAGCCTAGTCACATCTACTGGGGGAGAATGACTGACTTCTGCAAAAACCCCACTGCGCACGCGCGCGCGCGCACACACACACACACACACACACACACACACACACACACACACACACACACACACACACACACACACACACACACACACACACATACAGGTACATATATGTCAACTAGAACCTCCGGTTTGACAAACCTCGCAGTGCTGACATGTCACTACGTATCAGGTTACAACCACTGCCACTAAATGCGCTGTTTCTCACTCACCGACTCTGAAGTCTCTAAGTTCGAAAACAAAATCCCTCATTGAAAAGAGCTTTCCCTGTTTGATGTTGAAATTGATATTTTCTAGATGCCTGAGAATATATCATCAACTTCTATCTCAAATTTTTTTGACTTGGCCTCTGCGTCAGGTGTCCTTTCTCAGAATTACCAAAGGCTTAGAGCCCAATTTTGTCCTGATTGCTCTTATTAGAGTTCTCCAAGCCAAGATTTCGAGATCAGCCAGACTCATGTTTCCACAACAGACCACAAATTTAAGCTCACGTTGCTTCATTTCCCAGACTGGAGTAGTAGGAGTTTAAAATAGACTTAAGACTTATGAGCTAACCTCAATTAGGCTCTTGGAACAGCTTGTGGCTACTGGGAGCTGAAGTCAAAAGATTTAACACAATAGATTTTCCCTTGAGGATACACAATTCAAGATATGTTTTAAGAGCTTAGGAGGAATGCTTCAAGCCGTCACCAGTCCCTGCCTCTTTAAAGGTATCTTAGCTTATTACTCAAACAATTCATTTGCTGAGAACCAAGATACCTTTAGCTTCCTGAGTCAGGGCTTTAGTAGATGAGTCTCTCTTTAGTCACTAAATTATAGAGGCACATGCTATATTAGTGCACACATATATGCACTAGCGCGTGTAAACACATTTCCTATATCAAATTTGTTTTAAGAAGTACTGTGTATATCCTACTACCACTATGTTTATACAAACTACTAACTTCCTGGGTTCTGGCTTTGAACAAGCTCTCTAGGAGATTCTGCTGCTCACTCAAGTCTGAGAGCCAACAATCTAAAGAAATCACTGCTGCATCCCTGAGGAATAGATAAAAACCCATCACAAGGGGACCCAGTTATAATGGCAAAATCAAAATAAGTTCCCTCACTGCATCCTCCCCTTTGCAACCTAGCTTCACACTCCCCTATTCCCCTTCTTCCACAGGGTAAATGTGCTTTTGTCTCTTTTTTTACAGGCCTAGAACAATTGAAAGGCACTGCATCCTTTGTGAACATGGACCTGTCCCTGGTGGTGGAGTGCATGGACCATGCTCTCACAAGTCTCTTCCCTAAAACCCATTATGCTGCTGGAAAAGATGCCAAAACTTTCTGGATCCCTCTGTCTCACATGCCAGCAGTTTTGCAAGACTTTTTATTGTTGAAACAGAAAGTAGAGCTGGCTAATCCCAAGGCAGTATGACTCAGCTGATGACAAATACCTGCCCCAGGCTGTGAAATTGGCTGATTTCTAGGACACATCTCCTCAATCTCATTCTTTACCTAATCCAAACTGGACTCATTTAGATCAAACTTCTTTTGGTAAAAAGATGGGCTGCCACCATCCCCTTTGAGGTCGCAGGGTCCCTCCTCAAATTTTTCTTGAGAAGGTGGGCAGGGGTGGCACCTGCCCGATATTTAGTCTTTGCCTGCTGGTTATAATGTATGGAAAGTGGACAGGCTTTCCCATCCAAAATGATTTTTCACCCGTGCCTGACCCATGCTTTTAATCCACACCACTTAGAGTGACTCCTGAATGTTAAATATTTGTCCCTGATCAAAATATTAAGAGATAAGGAGAATAATCTCCTAAAGGGGGATTGGATGTGCTATCTTGCTGAGAATAAGATTCTAAAGAACTGGAACTTGGTTCTGTGAGCTTCAATGGGGACAGGAGAAGAAAGGGTAATAGGGCATTTTGAGACTGAAAAATACTAGGTAAGAGTGCAAGTAGGAGGGAAGAAAAAGGAGAGAAGGAGTAAGAGGACTAAAAAAAAAAAGAAACAGGTGTAAAAGTGTAGGTAGGGAGATTCCAGGACAGCCACCTGTGGATAGATGGTAACAGCAGAGGAACTTGTCATTCCAAAAGAAGAAAAATATAGAGCCTGTGTGTTTATCCTGAAGCTTGTAAAATGTAACGAGACATAGACTCTTTGATACGACTTACACCTGAGATGGTTGGGAAATCCAGTATGTGAGGTGTGTCTGAAGCCTCATGAAAATACAGAGCTAAATTCAGAGACTCTCTTTCACCAACAGTTACGGTGACAGCAGGCCTGCTGCTGGCTCATTTAATGGTTCTAAACTGGGTTGACTCGGAACCCACACCCCATCCAAAAGAAACTGCCTTAACAGATGCTTCCCCAAACCCCAGCACCCAGTATCATTCACAAAGGTTGGTTGAATATTTATATGAAAAAACCCAAAGTGTCAAATTTTAATATCTGTTGCAGGATAATATGGGCTTCCCTGGTGGCTAAGATAGTAAAGAATCTACCTCTTTGCAGGAGACTGGAATTCAATCCCTGGGTTGGGAAGATCCCCTGGAGAAAGAAATGGCAACCTCTCCAGTATTCATGCCTGGAGAATCCCATAGACAGAGGAGTCTGTCAGGCTACAGTCCAAGGGGTCTCAAAGAGTCAGGCACATCTGAGCAACTCACATACATGGGTAACCACAGAATAACACAGAGTGAAAGAGTTGGGGAAATTATCTAGTGTGTATATTTGTGCATGCATTTGCATGCGTGCACACACACACACTGAATTTACTGTGAAGAAAATATTTAATATCTGCTGCTTAAAACCATGTTCTTTTGAAGATGTCAGTAATCCTATTCATTTTCACTCACCTTTATGGAAACATCTGCCTATGAGGGAGTTACCTCCTCTGACATTTATATATTTATATTGATGACTTTCAAAAATCAAATTTCCAATGGGATCAGGTCCATATGTTTCATTATTTTGAGAAAAGATACACTCATCCTTTTTACATGAAAATGAAGACAGTCACAGCAAGAATCATAGAGAAAAATTCTCAAGCAAAGTGATCTCAACTATCCTCACCACCTATCAAAGGACTCATCCCCATCTTGATCCTACAAGCCCCAGAGGCCATTCCACCTGTACATCCCTGATTTCTTCTGTTTGGAATTAATACCAGGCAACTGTCACTCCAACTGTCCTTGGAGATGAAGTTCATCCACATCGTTTGCTGAGGCTCCTCCTTCTCACCTTGAATTTCTAGATCTTGGGTTCATTTCATTGCTTTAAAAATATCTAACCTGGGACTTCCCTGATGGTTCAGTGGCTAAGATTCCATGCTCCCAATTCAGGTGAGCCTGGGTTTGATCCCTGGTCAGGGAACTGGATCCCACATGGCACAGCTAAAGATCCCACATGCCCACAACTAAGACCTGATGCAGCCAAGTAAATAAATATTTTAAACCAAATCTAGCCTGCTGCTCCCAGCCTTCCAGGCCCCTAGGGCTGCCCAGACTTTTAGAATCTTCCAGAACATCCCTTGCTGAACTTTCCACTGTGCAGTTGAGCTTGCGTTCGTGCATGCTCAGGCATGTTTGACCCCATGGACTGTAGCCTGCCAGGCTCCTCTGTCCATGGAATTCTCCAGGCAAGAATATTGGAGTGGATTGCCATTTCCTTCTCTAGGGGATCTTCCTGGCCCAGGGATAGAACCTGGGTCTCCTGCAAGAATCTCTGGCAGATTCTTTACTACCTGAGCCAACTGGGAAGTGCTGAACTTTCCTAATGGTTATTTCCTTTGTTTTGCATAGACCTGAGTTCTTTACTCATTTCTCCATGTCGTTACAATTGATAAGTCCCTGTTTCATCCAACCGAAAAAAAAAATGCTGTACTTAAATAAATGCTGCCAAATTATGGTATCACTTCAAAATAAAACCAAATATATTCACCCAAGCAACTTTTAAAACTTTTTCAACTAAATGAGGAGGTGAGGGTATTTGAAGTAGAAAGGCATAGTCTCAAAAAAAGCACATGACCTGGGAGGGAGGGAGGGACACTGCGCCAAAGGTCTGAAGTATAGGTTTCTAGACTTCTCCCCTTCTTGCCATTGCTTCTTATATTCTCTGTGCTCTTGGGAAAATATCATATATTTATCATAATATTTTGGTGGACATATGTGCTGGGCTTTCTGCTAAGCACTGGCCAACAGTCAGGAACAAGACATAGTCCCTTTCTTCACAGAGCTTAAGGTAAACCAGAGATGGATGAAACCGGAGCCTATTATACATAGTGAAGTAAATCAGAAACCAAAACACCAATACAGTATGTTAATGCATATATATGGAATTTAGAAAGATGGTAATGATGACCCTATATATGAGACAGCAAAAGAGACACAGATATAAAGAACAGACTTTTGGACTCTGCGGGAGAAGGCGAGGGTGGGATGATTTGAAAGAATAGCATTGAAACATGTATATTATCATATGTAAAACAGATCACCAGTCCAGGTTTGATGCATGAGACAGGGTGCTCAGGGCTGATGCACTGGGATGACCCTGAGGGATGGGATGGGGAGGGAGGTGGGAGGAATGGTCAGGATGGGGAACACATGTACACCCATGGCTGATTCATGTCAATGTATGGCAAAGCCACTACAATATTGTATAGTAATTAGCCTCCAATTAAAATAAATAAATTATTTTTAAAAACAAAAGGTAAACCAAAGACTGAGGCCTCTGCTCAGTATGCCTAAGAGGGGCTTCTCCAGGAATCCCTGGTCAAGATGAATTGAGGGACTTACCTGGTGTTCAGTGGCTAAGACTCTGCACTCCCAATGCAGGGGGCCTGGGTTCAATCCCTGGTGAGGGAACTAGATCCCACATGCCTCAACAAAGACATGGCACAGCCAAATAAATATTTTTTTAAAAAAGATGAATTGAGATATCGTCTTCTACCACATCAAGCTAGGGAGGTCCCTCCCCACTTAGTTTGGAGGGACCAAGAAAGTGTTCCAGATCTTCCCCTTGATCTGATCTAAAAAGCCAGCTCTGTCTGATGTAGCTCTATGTGAACAATACATTCAAACCTGGAGTTTCTATCTCCCTTGCCCCACCAACCCTTTCTGGGTCCAGCACCAACTACCATCAGTTTTATCTCCTGAAGAGATCTCGGGTCCATCTACTCCTCTTCACCTCTAGGGCAACCATCTGTCCAAGCTTCTATCATCTCTTACCTCAGCGTATTTACTTCTGTGTACCTTCGATGGTTTCTCCTCACTGCAGTCAGATTGCTCAAGATTAAAGTCTGATCTTGCTGCTTTTCTCCCCACTTCCACTTTCCCAAACCCTTCAGTGTATTCCCATTGCCCTTTGACTAAGATTAAAATACATGACATAAACCACATTGTCCCAGCACATTTCACAAACCTTCATTTTAGGCTACTGTCTTCATTTTGCCATCTGAGGGCCTTTGCCCATGCTTCTCCCTAGAACGTTCCCATTTTACCTGCCTATCTGGTTTCTTCATCCTACAGACTCAACCCCTTCTCAGGCAAGCCCATACAATTCCAAATTTCTACCACCATCTTTTCATTCCAACGACATTCCCATCTTCTACATTCTCACTGCACTCTGTAATTTACTTCAGGGAGCTTATGACAGTCTGTAATTATGTATTTGTGTGACAGGTAAGTTAGGTAAAGTGGCCTTTCTTATCAAATGTTATAAGTTTCATGAAATCAGGAGCCATGTTGGTTTGCTCATCTTCCTACTCCCTTGTCTAGCAGACTGCTGGCATATAGACCAATGTTCAGTAAATATTCGTTGGATAAATGCAGAAATCAGCCTGTATTAATCCTTCTCAGGTGCAGTCTAGCACTTCAGATCAAGCTTGCCACCTGCATTACTTCCACTGTCAGTGAGTCTCTTCAGACAAAATCCTGTAACTTCCTTAAGCCTTTGAGTATTTCTACAAGGGGTTCCCTAATGCTGGTTTGTTGCCATAGAGATTTCTCATGACCTGTTGGTCCAGAGACACTGTGAAGGAGCCTATGTCTAAATTGAGACTTAGGGTTCAGTGGTCACAGAAAAAGGGAGCATCAGACGTCATTTTGTCCATTTTTCTGCCTGTAGGCAGGGCATGTCCATGTCATCCAGGCTGAAGAGAATCCCTTTCTATTTAAAATCTCCCCAGAAACTCTGAAGCTTCAGTGGGAAACCCAGCCCAACATTTACTGAGGAAAATTTCCAGGAGCGTCTAAGAAAAATTATCAGTTTCGGCTCTTCTCCACTCTATTAATCCCAACAATTCTCAAGAACACAAGACATCTCAGCCCCATCAGTATGAAGGGGAGAGCTAAACGTTCTCAAAATTAAAAGTTTTTTTAATATTTATGAATTATTCGTGACAACTTAATCTACACCACTGTTTATAAAG